ATGACCATAGGCTACTTTTATATCTACAAAACATAAAATCCACCAATTAGACCTGCAATCTTGTGGTGATCAGTGCTAAAAAAATAAAGCCATAAATATTTACCTACTGTATAGCAGGTTAAAATGGGCGGAAAAAATCGCGATTTGTTCAATTTTCAGCAAATCGCGGTCGTTTGAATTCGTGGAAAAGAAAACAGGAAAGTCATATCTATATTGTGTCATTTTTCCCCATTTAATCAAAAAGGACTGATCCGTTTGAAGTCAAAATAATGTTAAACATTCAGATTTTTTTTTTTTCATGGTCCAAATAGAAAAAAAAAAAAAACTGTAGTCAAAAGTTGAACTTTTATTCATCTAATTGAAATTAATTAATTGTCGTTACCCTGTTTACCACGAAGTGCCTTGATTAAAAGGGAATGACTGAGTGATACGACGGGTAAATTAAACAAGTAGGTTTTATTAAATAATTACATCGCACGTCTACTAGATTAATCGTTAGCTATAGAAATAACTAACAATTAATAAATTTAAAAACAATGACTTACACTCGCATAATTATAAAGACAGTCTACATCTAATCACAGATAATAATAAAATTCAAATTTATTCAAGGCTTATAATCTTTTAAAGAATTATTCACTGTATGTTAATTCGCGGAATTTCTTTTTCCGAATATAGCGAAATTAACTCCGCGAGTTAATTTCCTGCTGTACAGTATATGTCGAAATTGTTGATATCATAATCATTTATAAAAATTGCTGTTTTTAGGTAAAAGGATGATTTAACCCCCTAGGATAAGTATTTACGTAGTTCAGAGAGGCCAAGGTGAATATTGTACTTCGATGGTGGCTAAATCATTGTATTGACTGAAAATATCTTAATAATTGTTTTATTGGATGATACAATGATTAAATCAGCACAATGCAAATCATTACTTATTAGCTAACCTCGAGCTAAAGTCGATATGCCTTGCCACCTCCTGGTGGCATTGGGTACGTTGGCATCCCAGGTTCAAGTTTAAGGAAGCAAGTCCATTACCAAGTTACTATAAGCCTACGTGGACCAAACTTGCATGCATCTAGGGGTTACACTATCAGACTTGCTTTGGATGCGCCATGGCGTGATGTGCACTTCCACCAATGCACACCTTAAGTTTTTGGAGCCCATTTCCAAGTAACTAAAGCCTACCTAAATGCAAACTTGCATGGATGAGGATCTTAGTGATGGACACTATCAGACTTGCTTCGGATGCTGGATCTGACCTAAGGTTCAGATGAGTGACCATGTTATTCTCAAGTAACTATCATTTCTACCTGGGCCAAACTTGCATGGATAATGCATCTAAGGATGGACACTATTAGGCTTTGGAGGCTGGATCTGACCTACATTTTCCAGATGAGTGACCAGGTTATTCCCAAGAAACTATAAGCTCTACCTGGACCAAACTTGCATGGATAGAGCATCTTGGGATGGACACTACCATACTTGCTTCAGATGCTGGATCTGACCTACATTTTCCAAATGAGTGACCAGGTTAAAGTTTTTCAGATCAGGTCAATATCCAATGAACTGTAAGATCTATTGAAGCAGAACTTGCATAAATATTATTGTCAGGGTAAATACTAGCTATTAAAAAATATGATGTAAGATTTGCGTTACTTAAACCGATAACATTGTTGAGGTGAGCTTCGTAATCTTTGATTACCTATGTTATTGGCATTTGTTGAAGACTTAAGCAATTACAAAGAAAGAAGCAGAGTTACAATGTAAAATTCCGTCGTATAAATTTGAAATGTTTAAAATCTATTTTAGTTACTATGAAAGAAAAATTATATCAGGCTCTTCTATGTGATAGATTTTGAAAGTGATTGAGATTACTGTAAACGTGGAAATTTTGATGTGCCAATTTTGATTATATTGACGATTTTTCTTTTATCGTCAAAATTTACACTCGTCAAATTTCACATCATATATATCATATATAGCGTCGCAACAGACATTGACCATCGTACAACATTACCGCTTAATTTTCTCGGGTTTCCCCTATTAAAACCAGATCGAAGTTACTGTTTAATATCTTTTGTAATTAGTTATGAAAACACAGTGATATATAATCACATTTTTAAAACCATTGAATCTAAACTAGTGTATCAAATACTGCATGCATAACTTAGCATAATTATCACGCTGTGTTTGACCTACTTCGTGACCTCAGGCAATCAATTGACCGCTTATAGTGAAAACAATTTACAAGAGGGCAAACCTTATACACAGTTAGATAGTTTGCACAATCTAACACACTGTAGATGGTCTTACAATAATTAAAATTTTATAGTGACTCCGACGCTGCCTTTGTATCCAAAGATTTTTAACTCTTGATTAAATATTTCATCAAAATTAACACTCGTCAATTTTGGTAAACTAAAAATCGTCAATTTTTCAACTCGTCAATATAACCATGTTTACAGTATCAGGGAAAACTGACACCTTAAATTTAAGTAAAAAATATTTGTTTAGAAAAAGAATCAGAAGGAGTGGAGTGGTCCCAGCACCCCCACTTAACCACTCCCACCAAAATTACACATTCACCTAATGTTGTGTTTACATGAGTAAAAGTAGGCAACATGTGAAATAGCTTTCAAAACAATTTTTATCAATTTGGAATTTCTCATCTATTTTTAGATCAATGTAGAGAAATTAAATCCTTTTATTATACTTCTGTTCAAAATGTTTCCTACATAAAGTTAAGAAGGTAAAATAACTATATTTCATAGTCTGAAAATTTCCACACATAGAAAGCTATACCCAGGGGTATAGTATTATTAGTTACATAGTCTTTTAGTGACAGGGTATGGGATGATACCTGGTTAGTAAATTTCATGAAATTTACTAACCATGTATCAACATCCCCCCCCCCTTCAAAAAAAAAAAATTAATAAATAGAGGTAGAATTTGGAACTGGTCAGTAGGAATATATGAGGTTTAGTTGAATTATTACATATTTGGAACAATTCTAACTTTTCAAATCAGTGAACTAAGGTAGCTTTAACAATAGGCAGCATTTAATTAAAACCAAAATGCACTGAAAAACAGTTTCTAACCTTAGGCTGACATTTCAATATAATTTACCAAACATTGAGAGAGTTATTTTTAATAGTGTTTAATGTACATGTCTTATCAATTTCCTCAGATAAAAGGAACAGAACAAAGAGAGAATGTGTTTTGGTGATTAATGTTTTTTGTTGTATGGATTTCATTAGTAAGGATGCTTTCCTCTGAAACTTTTGGTTTTGGTTCTCTTTTACACCTGTTGCTATATTCTTCACAGACTCCTGGCGTTCTGATGTTTTATTCATCTCTGTCAAGGGAAATCTGTTGGGATGAAAAATTAATTTCTTTCAATGCTAAACAGGATAAGTATCATGATTCAATATGAATTTATTGTTTTAACTTCAGGAGATATCAAGACTGTGTATTCACAAATTGTACATATGGCCTGAATTTGAGCTAATGAAATAGACTACAAGAAATTGCATTATTGATATGAAAACCAATAATATAAAGCAGATGATTATTAAATTGTGAGAGAAAGTAATGAAGGTTTAAAAAGTGAAATTTATTATACCCTCCCCCAGAAAAGTGGGAGGGTATATAGTGATCTGGGTGTCCAATTGTCCATATGTCTGTCCATCCGTTTTTGGGGGTACTTATCTCTTATCCGCACTCCTCTGACATGCACTATTCGTTGTTAGTTGGTCATCAGCTTTTAAACAATTTTTAATTTCTTCACCTGAACTGTTGATCAAATTTCAGCCAATTTTTGTTGAAAGCACTTATGGAAATGTTAGTTGATCATATTAAAAAGACCAGAATGATAACTCCCACAAATATAATTTATACCATACAGGTTGACAGAATGATCGAACCATAGAAAAAATATCTTGCAGGTCTTGATGGTTTGAAAATAAAAACAAACGCCTTGAAAGGCAATTTAATTAATTTCATAATCATGAGTTTGAGTGTCTCAAATACTTATACTAAGAATCAAATGCCTAGTATGATTTGGGTGTTGGGGGAGGGGGGGGGGGAGGATGACATGTTTAAAAAAATTTATACTATTTTTAATAAGGCCTTGAGCTGAGTTTTGCTTAACTAAAAATATCATTATTGATTATGACCCCTAATCTGACCTTTAGGTCTATATTTAAGGCTATTGCTGAAGCTTCATCCTGACAGCATCAAAACCTGAAGCATTTTCACCTTAGGCCTTTGGGAATCTGAAGGTTTGAGCTGTACTACATCTTGGCATAAGGCAAGGAACGTAACTGAAAAATATATATGAAAAAAATTCATTGCATTACAAAATGGCATTTTTTTTAACATTTGGCTGGTATCACTCGTTTTCAGTCTACTTTCACTGGTGCAAACATCAAAGAGATGTAGTGATTGTGTAGTTTTTCTCTGTGACAATCTCCTGGACTGGAGGAAGGCTTTCCAATGGCTTCACAGTATTGATTCTACAGTGATAGCCAATAATGTGATTTGTAATGGGGAGGCATAGCTTAATTACATTGAATCATATTTAGATTAGCCAGGATACTGTTAACATCAATTTGGTTTCCTATTCATTCAAATGTTGCTATAGTCTCTCTGGTGTAGTCAGACAAAGGATTGGTGCTAGCTAGGATTGCGTGGCCTGTAAACTGCTGTTTAACTTTTGTAAGTGGAATGTATGTAAAGCTTTTACATATTTTGTCATTTGTATGCATCATGATATATATTCATTTTGATGGCAAATTTTGTGATGTGACTAATTATTGCTTATAAACAAAAGGGGAACTAAATGGCCTCTTTTTTGGTGGTTAGTGGCAGGGGTTGGGGTTAGAATTGGAAAGGAGGACAGTTTCCATGACACATTTATGTAATAGAGTTTACATTGTCATCATACAAGTAAATGCAGGTGTGCCATTTGATTTAATTTCAGGTTAAGCTAGAGATGACCTGGTGCAGCGTAATCAGTTGTCAACCATTGGATTATTCAGTGTGCATTGTCTGTTTTAAACATCTCAGGAATTAGGTGTAAGTAGCCTCTGCCAGTCCTTAAAAAAAATCACTGTTGAGTGTACTTAACACGTAGATTAAATGGAAAAAATTATTATTGAAAACGCTGTCAACATTTTATAAAGAGACCATTATATGATTTAAATGGAGAATTTAAAACTGAAATTACATAGAATAGATAACACAATGAGAAACCTATCAAAGCGACATTAAAGCAGATCAGGTGAGAAATAATACAGATCAATAATGGGTCTGAATAAATAAGTATATTGAATATATAGACTAGTAGGTGATGAAATGTGCCCTTATTTATGAATTGTCAGATATTACATTGAACTAAAGTGATTTTAGGCTCTGTTTGCTGAAGGTCTTTTTAAACATTTCTGTTGTAGGGGACAAACAACTAACTATGAATGTGAGAATACAAGGCCATGGAAAATGGTATCTAAATTTACCAGGAGTTTAAGACTCCAGCTATTGGAAACAGGTAATTTTTTTTAGTTTTTCACAAAGTGACTTTTTTAAGGTAGACAGTGCCTCATGTTGGCTGATCTCAAATCATGGGGCATTTCAAATCAATTAGCTTCAAATTGTCTAAAAATAAAAAATATAATCATTTAGCCTGAAATTTAATCTGAGGTAATTTTTTTTAAATAATTTGCAGCTCATTGAAATTTTGATCAATAAGAGTAATCATTTCCTTTTGATGTCACAGTATAGAGAATGGGTATGTGTGAAACTCAAAGTGAAATGAATAATTCAAAATAATAAAATTAGCTAATCATGCAGGACTGAAGAAGCAAGAAAAAGTTGTCAGCCCTGACATAAAGACCTACAAGTCCAAGAATTCCAGAAATTATATTCCTGATACTTAATATATGGTATACATGCATGTATATTCAAATCTATATTAGTTGTTATGTTGTCTTTGTTGTGAATGGCAGTGGCAATCCTTTTTCAGTATTTAAAAATAATGAAGTTAAAAATTCCACTAATTAACCTTGTCCTTAGACCACCTGGGTTAAATTTTCAAATGAGCCAAAAGCTCAACTCCAAAAAAAAAGACTGTTGTCCTTATTGTCACAATTGTAATGTTTTAATGATTTTATTGTTTTCATAGGAAACATCATTGTGCCAATTGCATAAAATATCCTTCAGTAAGGGAAATTCAAGTTTGTTAAAATGACAGGCCACCGCTTTTTGGGACATGAGCAGGTCCAGCTTAAATATTCTTTGTTCAATTTAGTTGTGACCTACAATTTTTAAAGTGGTTAAATATAGGTTCTAAGGTGTCATACATGTTAACTCTACCAATTTGGGCAGAAGTTTACTGCTTTTTGCACGACCTCCCACCTACCGCTTTAATATGTAAATCTACAGCTTTTTTTTTTGTTAATTAGGGACACTCTGTCTGTCTGTCCATCTATCATTCTTCCGTCCACAAATTTTCTGTTTTTTCCAAATAACTTTTTAAAAAAAAAAACAAAGGAGTTAATTCAATGTGAGAAGGCTGCTGTGTTCATCATTTCAATTAGGGCATCTCTGATCTAGCAGGTGCTATCTATAGTATATCTACCAGGAATTAAAAATCTGCCTCTGAGGCCATAAAACTGAGACAAGCTCACTTTTGATTTCCGTCTCACTTTTTCAGAATAGTAGAAAAGTTAGACTTAGATCAAAAGTGAGCTCATCTAAGTTTTATGGACCCAGAGCCTGGTAGGGCTCATATCTCTGATTTTCAAGTAATAGAATCTGTTAAATCAAAACATTGAGTTACTTGATGGCCAGCTTTTTATTAGCTCACCTCAACGAAGTTGGGGAGCTTATGTAATACCCTCGGTGTCGGCGTCCAGGGGTAAGGTTAAGTTTTTTGGAGCAGTTTTCCTTTTAAGTACTTCTATGTCCTATATTGATTAGACATGCATGGAAGATGCTTCTAATGTGTTTCACTGTACAAGTCAAAGTTTCAGATGCTGCAATTTCAGCAAAGGAATGACCAGGTTAATGTTTTTGGAGCAGGTTAACATTTCTGCTGCAGTTTTTGGTGTAGGTCTCATTTCCAAGGAACTATAAGCACTATGTTGACCAAACTTGCATGGATGGTACATCTAAGGATGTACACTACCAGACTTGCTTCGGATGCTGAATCTGACCTACATTTTCCGGTTTAGTGAACAGGTTAAAGTTTTTGGTGCAGGATTCATTCCCAAGATACAATGAGCCCTATAATGACCAAACTTGCATGGATGGTACATCTAAGGATGCATACTACCAGACTTGCTTCAGATGCTGAATCTGACCTACATTTTCTGGATGGGTGAACAGGTTCAAGTTTTTGGGGCAGGTTCCATTTCCAAGTTACAATGAGCTTTATAATGACTAAACTTGCTTGGATGATACATCTTAAGATGCATACTACCAGACTTGTTTCGGATGCTGAATCTGACCTACATTTTCTGGATGAGTGAACAGGTTAAAGTTTTTGGTGCAAGTTTCATTTCCAAGATACAGTGAGCCCTGTAATGACCAAACTTGCATGGATGATACATCTTAGGATGCATAACTATCAGACTTGCTTCGAATGCTGAATCTGACCTACATTTTCTGGATGAGTGAACAGGTTAAAGTTTTTGATGCAGGATTCATTTCCAAGTAACTATGAGCTCTTTAATGACCAAACTTGCATGGATGATACATCTAAGGTTGCATTTTACCAGGCTAGCTTCAGATGCTGAATCTGACCTACATTTTTTTCTGGATGAGTGAAGAGGTTAAATTTTTATGCAGGAGCAAGTCATTTCTAAGTAACTATTAACCTATGTTGTGCAAACTCGCATGGATGATACATCTTAGGATGCATACTAATGGACTTGCTCCGGATGATGAATTCGACATACATTTTCCAGATAATGGACCAGGTAAAAGTTAAGGTTGCAGGTCTATCACCAAGAAACTATAAGGCTTAAATAAACCAAACTTGCCCAAGTCATGCATCAAGGGATGAAAACTTTTAAACTTGCTTCAGATGCTGGATTTCGGTCACATTTTTGTGATGAAGAACTAGTTTGAAGTTTTTATATAGGTCTATTCCAAAGTATCAGATCAAAATTGTATAAATTTTGCATTTTTGGATGTACACTCTTTGTTGGGTAATTGTGTGACTTTACCTAACTTAAAGACAACATTCGTAGAGGTGAGCTCTGTAATCTCTGATTACCTATGTTTTTAAAATAAATAATCATTGGAATCGTCTGTAATTAAAGTAAAGTGTAAGTTATCTTTTTCTTCTGATCCAGAAATGATTTAAACTAAATTCCTTTGGTAGCAATGTGCTATGAAGCTAGCTAAGTGTTCCAAACGGGGTGGTAGAGGTTGCGTACCTTGACCATAAGTTAGTAATATGAACAGCCTGTATGAGTGGAATGCTGATTTATAGGCTGCCACTGTGGAAGGTTATCAGAGAACCATCTGTAAGAACTCTGCAGTTTGATTCATAGAAATCAATGCTGGGTTCACATGAGTGCTGGCCCTGATCCATGCAAGAAAACCGTGTTTGGAACTCTTTGACCTGCAATCAAGAAAGTAGATTTGCAGCTATATTCTGGACTCCTTCAACATGTACATTGTGTGTTAGAGATGAAACCATCAGTCGTCTCATGAGTTGCATAAGTGATGTGTCTTTTGAAGAGTTTTTGTTGATGATATGAACAACCCCTAGGTTGTCAGATTGTAAAATTTCAGTGCTGTAAGATAATAAGTGTCCTCATATATATTGAAAGCGATCACAATAGGCAGGAACTTGGGAACTGAGATGTGAAAATCCAGCCACTGATTAGGAAAAGGGGCATTAAACCATTTCCTACCAAAAGTACAACCGAAACCCAGATTACTTGCGTCAGTAAATAAGTGCAAAGAGGAAGATGTGTGTTGTACCCCTGAAGGGAAAAAAAGCTCTACCATTAAAAAGGGCAAGAAAAATGGCCCATGCTTTCAGATCGGCTCTGGCTTCTCAGACTAGATTCCTATGATGGAAAGGATTTTGCAAGTCCTGAGTAAGAATGATAATTCACCTAAGGAATGTATGCTCGGGGGGAACAACTGCACAAGCATAATTTAATGTTCCTTTCAAGAACTGCATTTGGTGGAGTGAAGCAGTGCATTTATTTTGGAATGATTTTATTTCAGATTTTAAACGCTCCAACTTGTTCACTGGGAGTCTAATTTCCAATTTCGATGTACTGTAAAAGTACTTAATTCCACGAGGTCATAATTCCACGGAAACAAAATTTCTATTCAATCCGCGAGTATAAAACTAGGCGGATACCTTGGATTGTCAATATATGTCCTTAATGAATCTTTAGTATGCTGTGACAAATTTCTGCGAAAAACTTGTGTCTGTGTAGATAGCGAAAATTAATCCTGCACGGTAAAAAGTACGTCTCTACAGTATCTAATTTCAACTCTAAAAATGTCAAGGTGGTAGTTGGGTGAACAGTTTTCTTGGATTTGATAGGGAGGTAGATATCTTTGGCAAGGGAAGAGAATGCTAAAAGTAAGCTATAGCAGTTTGGGGATCTGGGGGACCCACAAAAAGAAAATCATCTAGTATACCAAACTTATTCTCTAAATTCATTGCAATGCTGTGCTAAACTTTTCAAAGAGATGACAAGAATAACTTGAACCAAATGGAATTTTTTTGTCGTAATAATATGACCCAGATATCTTGAAACCTAGCAGTTCAAAATAACTTGGATGTGTAGACATTTTTCAAATCAGTCTTTGCAGGAAGAGCCTCCCTGTCTTCCCAATCACTGATCTGTGTGACTCCATGTCTCCCTAATCACTGATCTGTCTCTGACTCCATGTCTCCCCAATCACTGATCTGTGTGACTCCATGTCTCCCTAATCACGGATCTGTGTGACTCCATGTCTCCTAATCACTGATCTGTGTGACTCCATGTCTCCCTAATCACTGATCTGTGTGACTCCATGTCTCCCTAATCACTGATCTGTGTGACTCCATGTCTCCCTAATCACTGATCTGTGTGACTCCATGTCTCCCCAATCACTGATCTGTGTGACTCCATGTCTCCCTAATCACGGATCTGTGTGACTCCATGTCTCCCTAATCACTGATCTGTGTGACTTCATGTCTCCCCAATCACTGATCTGTGTGATTCCATGTCTCCCCAGTCACTGATATGTCTGACTTCATGTCTTCCTAATCACTGTTCTGTCTGACTCCATGTCTTCCTAATCACTGTTCTGTCTGACTCCATGTCTCCCTAATCATTGATCTGTCTGACTCCATGTCTCCCCAATCACTGATCTGTGTGACTCCATGTCTCCCTAATCACTGTTCTGTGTGACTCCATGTCTCCCTAATCACTGTTCTGTGTGACTCCATGTCTCCCTAATCACTGTTCTGTCTGACTCCATGTCTCCCTAATCATTGATCTGTCTGACTCCATGTCTCCCTAATCATTGATCTGTCTGACTCCATGTCTCCCTAATCACTGATCTGTGTGACTTCATGTCTCCCTAATCACTGTTCTGTCTGACTCCATATCTATCTAATCACTGATCTGTCTGACTCCATATCTATCTAATCACTGATCTGTCTGACTCCATGTCTCCCTAATCACTGTTCTGTGTGACTCCATGTCTCCCTAATCACTGTTCTGTGTGACTCCATGTCTCCCTAATCATTGATCTGTCACTGTTCTGTGTGACTCCATGTCTCCCTAATCACTGTTCTGTGTGACTCCATGTCTCCTTAATCACTAATCTGTCTGACTCCATGTCTCCCTAATCACTGTTCTGTGTGACTCCATGTCTCCCTAATCACTGTTCTGTGTGACTTCATGTCTCCCTAATCACTGATCTGTCTGACTCCATATCTATCTAATCACTGATCTGTGTGACTCCATGTCTCCCCAATCACTAATCACTGTTCTGTGTGACTCCATGTCTCACTAATCACTGATCTGTCTGACTCCATGTCTCCCTAATCACTGTTCTGTGTGACTCCATGTCTACCAAATCACTGTTCTGTGTGACTCCATGTCTCCCCAATCACTGATCTGTCTGACTCCATGTCTCCCCAATCACTGTTCTGTGTGACTCCATGTCTCCCTAATCATTGATCTGTGTGACTCCATGTCTTCCCAATCACTGTTCTGTCTTACTCCATGTCTATCTAATCACTGTTCTGTCTGACTCCATGTCTATCTAATCATTGATCTGTGTGACTCCATGTCTCCCCAATCACTGATCTGTGTGACTCCATGTCTCCCTAATCACTGATCTGTGTGACTCCATGTCTCCCTAATCACTGATCTGTGACTCCATGTCTCCTCAATCACTGATCTGTGTGACTCCATGTCTCCCTAATCACTGATCTGTGTAACTCCATGTCTCCCTAATCACTGATCTGTGTCACTCCATGTCTCCCTAATCACTGATCTGTGTGACTCCATGTCTCCCCAATCACTGATCTGTGTGACTTCATGTCTCCCTAATCACTGTTCTGTGTGACTCCATGTCTCCCTAATCATTGATCTGTCTGACTCCATGTCTCCCCAATCACTGATCTGTGTGACTCCATGTCTCCCTAATCATTGATCTGTCTGACTCCATGTCTCCCCAATCACTGATCTGTGCGACTCCATGTCTCCCTAATCACTGATCTGTGTGACTTCATGTCTCCCTAATCACTGTTCTGTGTGACTCCATGTCTCCCTAATCACTGTTCTGTGTGACTCCATGTCTCCCCAATCACTGTTCTGTCTGACTCCATGTCTATCTAATCACTGATCTGTGTGATTCCATGTCTTCCCAATCACTGATCTGTCTGACTCCATGTCTGCCCAATCACTGTTCTGTGTGACTCCATGTTGTTTTTGGTTTCAGAAGAAGAGGATGCAGCAGCTAAGCTGGCTATTGACAGGCTTCTGCCTTCTGTTTCCAATACTCACGTCCAATGCAGTCTATAAAGGTATTTAATCTTTGTACTAGGACTCAAACAGATTCATTGTAACTAATTAGAATGAAAATAGAAAGCATGACCATGTTCTGATTAATTTGTTTAACATATCAGATGTCGAAGAAAGCTCTTAACACTATCAACAAGTAGTGTTTTTTCCCCAGTAATCAATTCAGGGGTAAATTGATTATACCCTTTGTGTCCTTCTGTCTGTCTGTTTGTCTACAAAAACTTAAACCTTGCCCATTTCTTTGAGAGGATGGGTCTTTTATATTTTACAGGTATATCCCTTGTGGCAGGACCTTCCTTGGTTTACCACCAAATTTAACCTCTTGACCTTGGACTTTGACCCACTTTTACAAAAGAAATTCCACTCTTAAACTTTGGTGCTAACTTCTGATCAGTTAGTGCTAGAGCTTTCATACTTCACATATTACTGTGACAAGACCTTTCAATGGTGTAAATATTTTTGAAATACCTTGGCAAAATTTTTGAGGAGTCAGTACTATGGCTTTCCTCTTTTGCACATGTATTCCTTGTGAGGAGACCTTTCTTAGGATACAGTTGTTTGACCAGTACCGAATAAGAAACTGATTCTTTGGTGCTACAAATGTACGAGGCATTATTTCAAAATCAAAAGTTTTTTTGTAATTGTAAAGGTAGTTCAATGATTCGTGGAATTAAACATTGTTTCATAAAAGTTCAACCTTCCCCCCCCCATAAAAATTATTTCGCAAGTTAACATATAACTTATGCGATAATAAGGTGTCTGTCATCCGTCTAGCTGTCTGTCTGTCTGTCTGTAAACAATTTTTCAAAATGTTACTACTCCTACAGTTTTGGTCTGATTTCAAAATGACTTGGCACACAAGTAGACTAGACTAAGATACATAATTTAGTGCATCAGATTTTGATTTTGATGAACGGTGTTGCCATGGTTACTAAAAATAGAAATTTCTGTGAAATTCCTTTAAAATGCTACTTCTCCTACAGTTTTGGTCTGATATCAATATATCTTTGCACACAAGTAGACTACACTAAGATACATTATTTAGTACATGGGTTTTTGATTTCCATGAAGTGTTGCTATGGTTACAGGGCTCTCAATTCTCTAAAATTGGGGCCGTTCAACGGCCCCGTTCCCAATGCAGAAAAGGTACGTTTTTTCCCAAAAGAAAGGTGTAAATTTCCCAATTTCCATCCAGAGTAAAAAATTAATTAAAAAATAAAAGTCAATCAGACCTAATCACAAAAAAAAAAACCCAAACAAAACACATTTGCAAATGAAAGTGAAACTGTACTACTATGAAATGCATTCGTAAACTGGTTCGGGGAACCAGGTTACTGTTTTTACAAAAATGTATACAACTATGAGTGCAGAGTATCTTGTTATGTAGTTTCGACAAAAACCAGCATTTTGGTTTCAAAAATAGACATTTCATTTAAACATTAGTAAGCTGCAACTAGAAACATACCCGCGCTTCGGCATGTTCAGTCTCGCGCTGTATTGGTAAGCAAAGTTGCCCATGTGATCGAGGAAATTCGGGACTATGTGACTAGCGACTGTCACGCAGTAAGACATATAACCGCAATATCAACACTCAAAGAGAGTAATGACAAAGGTAATGTACTTTCATAAATAGCCTACGTACCCATGTTTGTTCTGTTTAACTGTTTATTCAAACCACAGTTAGCATTGATGATAAAATGCTAGAAAAGCAAAATTTGAGGATTTTTTTAAATGAATTTGTGTTATCCAACTTTTCCCAAAATGACGATAATTTTCCCAATTTGAACGGCCCCGGCCCCAGTCCCAAAAAGTGGTGTGAGAGCCCTGGGTTACTAAAAATAGAAAATTCTGTGAAATTTCTTAAAAATGCTTCTCCTCCTACAGTTTTGGTCTGATTCAATATAGCTTGGCAGACAAGTAGATTACACTAAGATACATTATCTAGTGCATCAGTATTTTATTTCAATGAACAGTGTTGCTATGGTAACTATAAATAGAAACTTCTGTGAAATTCCTTTAAAATGCTACTTCTCCTACAGTTTTGGTCTGATTTCAATATATCGTTGCACACAAGTAGACTACACTAAGATACATAATTTAGTGCATTGGTTTTTGATTGAGATGAGTAGGTCAAGCTTCAAGGTGAAGGTCAGAAGGTCAAAGTTCTTGGTATCCAATGATAGGTTTTCTCACAAGGATTACATATGTGAGTCATGAAAGCCCTAGACCTAACCCTTCAAAAGTTATGGATAAGGTTTGTTTTTTAAAAGTAGGGCAAACTCCCAGGTCAAGGTCATTGGTATCCAATGATAGTTTTTCTCACAAGGATTACATATGTGAAGTATGAAAGCCCTTGCCCTTACTGAGTCAAAAGTTGTGGCCAAGGTTGAAGTTTTTACATAAGTACAAAAATCTCAAAGGTCAAGTTCAAAAGGTCAATGTTGTAGATATCCAATGAAAAGTCTTGCCACAAAGAATATAGATGTGATATATGAAAGTCCTATTATCTACCTTTCAAAAATTATGTCCAAGGTAAAAGATAAAAAAAAATTGTGTAAAAGTAGGTCAAACTCCAAAGTCAAGGTCAAAGGGTCAAATTTGGCGGTACCCAAAGAAAGGTCTTGTCACAAGGAATACATGTGTGAAATATGAAAGTCATAGCTCCACTAAATCAAAAGAATTCGGGCAAGGTTAAAGTATTTGTGACGGAGTGACAGACTGACGGATGGACAGACGAATGAGATTTAATGTCCCCTCGCTTTCGCGATAAAATAAAATAGAGGGTCACTTTGGCACTTTTACAAAGTAAAGTGAAGCCTCATCAAATTCTATGAAGCCTCATTAAATTTTATAGTGGTGGAAGAGGAGTTGCAGATAAAAAATGGGTACCCCAAAGCGTATAAGACAGACAGATGTACAGCTAGATTACATATGGATGGACAAACATCCCATCACTATATACCTTCCCCCTGTTTTTCAAGCAGGGGGTATAACAAGTCATGTTTACATTGAAACAAAGAAGAATGAATTTATAATGGGTATTCAGAACTAGTAAAATGACAGTACGAAAATATTCCGATATCTTCCAGTGTTCAGAATATTTATTTTAGACAAATTTTTAATATTTGTTAGAGTACATATCAAACTTACTTTTTATACCTGGAATGTTGTTTTATGTGCAAAATTGACGTTTCTACAAAGGTTTTTCTGCACACTATTACATTGAGGTGATTCAGATTTCTTGCATTGTAAAAGTAGGTCAACTGTTTTAAGTACGATAACGAAACCGCGCTGATGGCAAAAAACCAAAACTTTACGTAATTCAAACACTCATAAATAAGCCTTCTTAACACATGTACCAAGTTTACAACTTTGATTTGATTAATTATCAGCTCTTAAATTAATAATTATTTGGAACAGGCAAAAATCCAGAACTGGCCAAACAACTGTACTAACAATTTTGACTTGACATTTGGAGTTTAACTTGCATCAAAGAAACTTAAACCCTCGCTATAAGCTGTCATACGGGGGCATTAGTTTTTCACTTACTTAATTTTTAATTAACTGTTAAAATTTGTAATGGTTTGTTATCCAATTTTTTTGTTTATTTCATGTTGAAAGAATGTAAACACTTCTTCAATAGTACAACACTGAATAAAAGTGGGACATTTAATTCTACTGCGTGGCCTGGTCTATACCCTCTCAATACTCACTGCATGTACTACTTCATTGGCCTCCGGAATGAGAGAGTCGAGTTGAACATCACAGACTTCCAGCTACAAGGAGTTTACCCTCAGTAAGTCTTCAGCAAGCTTTTTATGTGTTTAACAGTTCAATTAAATAAAATATTGAAAATGATAAAGATAGATATTTTTTGTATCAGAATCCTTCCTTAAAACCACAGGCTTTTCATATCATGAATATAGTACATATGTTCAATGCGGCAATACAAACACTAAATCAAACAAATTAAACTATATGAAAATCTCTAACCAATATTAATGACAAAATTATTGGCATACCCCTGAGCACGGAAAACGCCAAATTTTACACCTGCCAAGAAAACGCTATACGGTATACTATACAGTAATACTGAATGTGTGATCAATGAACCTTGTGCACATTAATTCTGCACATTCACTTTTTTAGCTCTTCTGAGCCAAAGGCTCAAAGAGCTAATGCTATGGAACGCCATCACTGCCTTATAGCATACAACTATGCATTTATTACGTCAATTTATCATTACGTGATGTGAACATATCTTTACGTTATGTCCATTTTTTATGGAATGATGAAAATATATCTTATCATCATGTCAATGCTGCATTACATGAAGTCAATACATCCTTTCATTATGTCAGCACTTCATAACTTGAAGTAAAAAATTCATTATGTGAAGTGATAATGTGTTTACATTGTGTTAAAACTTTATTACGTGAAATGAATGTTTCTTTACATCATTTCATTTCTTTAATATGTGAGGTCAAAATTGCATTACGTCAAGTAAATTGTGTTTTATGATTAAACTTATCATCACATGAAGTCAAAAGCCCATTCCTTTTTGAGAGTGTGTATTTCTATTACATCAAAGTATTATTACGTGATATGGATTTATCTTTATTTTACGGCGAGGGCATGAGGTGAACACATCTTAACTTTATGTCAGTGCTTTATTACGTGGTGTAAAAAGTGTATAACATAATGTGAACATATCTTTATATTATATAAACACTTTATTACATTATGTCAAAACTCCATACCGTGATGTGGATATATTATAACGTTATGCCAACTCTTTCTTATGTGATTTAAAAATATCTTTATATTGTGTTAACTCTTTATCATGTGGATTCCAAGTTCATTACCTGATGCAAAAATACATTTACATTATCTCAAAGCTGTATATCTAGTATATAATAAATGTTGACGACCGTGTTTTAATGACTGGTAAGAAGGGGGGGGGGGGGCGTGATTGATTAGGACAAATTACAGGCACATAATATCACCCCCCCCCCCCCTCTTTTCCTAGACATAACTTTACTATAGAAAATGTAATGTTCATTGAAACTGTACAGCCCCCAACCCCCACTTCTGGTTGAAATATAGTCCACTAAGGGTAACATAATATGTCTGGAAAAAAATAGGATTGATTGAAGTTGGACCACTCTCCCCGAAATAGGATTTTCGGGCCTGGACATTTTTTTTCTTGGCTTGTCTAGTTTTTTCGGATAAATGATTTTTTTTTACTGGCTGACCTCCTCTTTCAAAAAAATGATGCTACGTCACTGGAGTTAGTAATTTTTATTAATCATTCCAGGGCCAGAATTCTATTAAAAAAATCTACCAGTCGCTCATCTAAATCAATTGAATAGGCTTAGTAAGCATGCATGGGCACATATCAGTGGCAGATATGGGAATCTTGAACAAGGAAGGGGGACGTATAAAAAAAAAAAAAAAAAAAAAGACAATCAAATTGCAAAACAGTTGCATAAAAGTTTTTAAAGTTTATTTTGAAGCCAAGATGTTAGAAGTTTGGGATTCTAATCAATTTTTTTTAGATTTGCAAGTGCCAGTTTTAGTTCGTTACCCACAGACACCCAATGGAGTTTTGTTGGTGAACTTTGATCCTTACATCTTTGAAGTGATAAAAGAGTCGGAGTACATGATAAAAATGAATCTTGAAATTCCTGAAGCAGCAAAGATTCTTGTTCATTCCAGAGATACACTGAAAGCCCATGCTTCTCAAATGAAGGTTTGCAAAGAAAATAAGAAGAATTAATTTTGAGTATTTTTCATTTTTGATGCATATTGGTTTTCAGCCATGGGTTATTCAGACCTGTTTACTCTTACGATTTCGCCGTAATTTGTACGGATTTTTATGAAAATACGTCTCACGTTTTGCCATTTTAAAAATACGGAAATCGGAAATACGTTAGTTTGGAATTTAACAGTTAGTTTTCGTTATGATCTGTCTTAGTTTCACCATTTTTGTCGCTAAATCAGAGAGAGGTTTCAAACACATAATCGATGTCAGGTTGCCAGAACGCTGTGGTATTATGGAATGACAAATACCTTGTTGTTAAATAATGTTTTATGTAATCAGAAAAGCAGTTTTTCTCTTTTAATATATGTAAAATTGATGGAAAGTGAATTCTTACTGGCAAATGCCAAATCTCACGGACAAATCTAATAACAAATACTGAGAGACAGCGTTATGGGTAAACAGGTCTGGTTATTGATCGGGCAGTGGTTGAGATGGAAATCCAAACTACCTTTTCTATATATATGTATGAATTTTGATCGTGATATTTTGAAACCTGACATCTTAAAGGTTTTTTACCCCGCATTGAAGGTCAAGATAAAGTTTTAACTCTCTTTTAATTAAGAGAAAAATTCTGCATTCATTTCATTGAATTAGTCACATGTTTTGATTTGAACAGATCATGTCACATTCATAGATTATTTTTGACTGTAAATTTTTGATTGTTTAAGATTTTTTTTCAGTTCTTACTGGATGAAGACAAAGCTTTAAGAGCAGAAATCCCACCAATATTTCAAACTCTTCTTGGGCCATCTCTCAAAAGGGTAGGAATGTTTTCTTCAAAAAATAAAATAAGAAGCAGGGTACATGCGACTAAAAACTGATTTTTTTCAGTGTATGTGCACTATTTTTATTAGTGCAACAGAAAATATTTGATCCAATTTTTATTTTTTTAGTATGTTAAGAGATATATGTATTATGGAATTAATGAATATGTGTCATGTTGCATCATACATGTATCTTGAGTAGATGTAATTATATCTTTTTTTAGTTCAACATTAAATAACCAAAGAGCTACTATACATTGAAAAAAATAAATCATGAATATAAAATCAGTCTCTTTGTTAACTACACACTGTAAACAAACTGACTTGCATGCTAAAATACCTGCAAATTTCTCTACCTTTGCCTCCCCAAAACTTTTAGCCAAAAACCAATCATTTATTTGTTTTTTTTTTAATGTTGAATGTATCCTTGGTATTAAAATGTTAAACAGTCACATATTGATTTCAAACTGTCAAAACATAAAGAAAAGATGATTTAATTTTGTGATATATTTGTTTCCTTTCATGTTCTGAAGGTTGACAGTGTGATCCGGCCTGGATTGATCTCTCATACTTGGACATCACTGAACTTGCCTACCTACTTCACACAAGTCAAAGAAGCCTTGGCTGAGCTGCAAATTATTGTCAAACAGGTGTGTAAAAATCTCAAGAGTCTTTTCTTATGTTCTACATAACTATAATATATTAAATTGCTTATTTGTAGTTGGAGCAATGCTTTCAGAATGTTTTACAAAGAAAAGAATCTTAAGCTAACCAGTCTTGAGCCAATGAAATTACTAAACTTTCATGCTAAAATTTATTAATATTGAATTGAATTTTACAAATGCAAAGGGAGTTCAAATGTTGAATTACTTGGCGTGCTGAAATTGTGAAGACTGTGTTGATTACCAAAATTTAACTTGCCAATAATTAGAAATTAAAAGACCCTATAGTTAACCAATATTCATACAATGTATTTTTAAAATAACCTTTTCATGACCTGTTGTCAAGTCAAATTTTCAAAAGTTTGCCTAAAGAAAATATACTGTGCTTTAGTGCAAAATAAGAAAATGGATGTTCTTTAATACATGAACCATTTCTTATTGCCAAACAGATCAGTGATATCAAAACCACCAGAATTGACCTCATGTTAAAAGAGATAAGTGAGACATTGCTGTGTGACTTACCAGAGAGAAATCCACTGACTGTTTCAGAATTTCTACAGAAGATGGAGGTCAGTGGTCATCACAATTCTACTAAGTATGGTATTGTATATATATGTAGAGGGAAGACAATTTTGTTCAAAGTAAAATAAATTTTTACTTGTCTATGGCAAAAATCAAAATTATTTGACATTTTCAGTTCCCTTGAGACACTTGTAAAGCAAAATTCAAAGAGCTAATGTAATTATGTGCATTTAGCAAGCAAACTGCATGCAGTGAAATGTATGTTGCATAGGTTAAAGTTTTGGGCCCTAAATTGTGGCTTATAAAATAGATATTTATTTATCCAAACACAACAGAATATAATTGAGAGTTCCAACAGTTTTATTAACAATACTATTTCAAAATATTTATACACAACATGACATAAAGAAAGGTTAAGATTTATCACAGAAAAATACAGTGTATCTTAAAATGAATGAAAGGAATAAAAATTATTGAAATAAACTTCTATTGCAGATGTTTATAATCAAATCATTTCAGGAATATACTGATCAAATGGCTGTGGATATCAACAAAATGAGTCAAGTGGTTGAGGATGCTGTAAAGGAATTGGTCAGAATATTTTTACAGCGAGCACATTTGGAGCAGAGCTTACTTTTGGAGAGTGGAGCCAGCTCAGACAGAAGTGAAATAATCTGTAAGTTGATACTTCTAGATCTGTGATATAAGACAAAAATGATTTTGATATTGTCCTGTTGTAGGAGGCACAGGTTGGAACTCTGATTTATTATGTTACCTTTTTTTTTACCACCTGTATCAGTTTGATTCTGTGACCCAGATTTCTAAATAAAGATAAAGCTTTGCTATATATACTTTAGTTTAATATAGTGAAAAAAGCTACACTAACCCTTGGAGTTTACATTTTAAATAGTCAAGATGCTTGATCCAAAATTAAAAGAAAAAAATCTTTGATCACTCCCTTTTGTCTGTACCTTTGAAAAATAGAAATGTTAAGTATCTGTCTGGTGTTGTAAATGGAAACATTGAAAATTCTACAGAACTCCTGGCTAATGTCAACAAAAATTGCAACAAAATATCTTGGTTAAAGGGAATTGATGTTTGTTTTAAATATCTTCTTCCTTATACATGTAACCACCAGCCAGAAAAGATGAAACAAGTGAAAGCAAAGATCCAGTTTTGTTTAAATAATAACGCCTGGGCTAGCGTTGTCTCACCGTTGGAAATCAAAATTTTGCATTTGGTCCACATCATAAAGTCAAAATAATTATGAAAATTAAAGAGGGAAATTGAAAATGTTGATAATAGCAGGACTCAGATTACTGGAAAAATAAGCAACATGTGATATAATTATGCCCCCCTTCGAAGAAGGGAGGGCATATTGCTTTGCTGCTGTCTGTCGGTCCACTTAGTTTCCGTTCATTTTCTTCACAACCGTTGCACGTACTGAAATGAAATTTGGTATACAGATATATCACATGAATATGTAGGCCAAGTTTTGTTTTGGGTACAATCGCACCATTTTTGACAGAGTTATGCCCCTTGGACTTAGACAAATTTCAATTATTTGCAGTTTCCGTTCATTTTCTTTGCAACCGTTGCACAATCTGAAATGAAATTTGGTATACAAATATATCACATGTATATCTAGGCCAAGTTTTGTTTTGGGTACAATCGCACCATTTTTGACAGAGTTAAGCCCCTTGGCTTAGAAAAATTTCAATTATTTGCAGTTTCCATTCATTTTCTTCGCAACCGTTGCACTTACTGAAATGTAATTTGGTATACAGATACATCACATGAATATCTAGGCCAAGCTCTGTGTTGGATACAATCACACCATTTTTGACAGAGTTATGCCCCTTGGACATAGAAAAATTTCAATTATTTGCAGTTTCCATTCATTTTCTTTGCAACGGTTGCACATATTGAAATGGAATTTGGTATACCGATATATTACATGAAAATATAGGTCAAGTTCTGTTATTGGTACAATCGTGCCATTTTTGTTCGAACTGAAGTTAGTTGATAGAAGTCATGGGTTGTATGACAGCACCTGGCTGTGCTAACATTATCATACCATGCTAAACTTACTGTATGCTAAAAATAACACGTTTTAGCTTACCTGAACCAAAGGCTCAAGTGAGCTTTTCTGAACGAAATTTGTCAAAGATTGTTGTTAGCGTTGTTGTAAACTTTTCACATTTTCATCTTCTTCTCAAGAATCACTGGAGCAATTTCAACCAAACTTGATTAACACAAAGTATCCTTGGGTGAAGGGGATTCAATTTTGTTCAAATGAAGGGCCACGCCCTCTGCCAAGGGGAGATAGGCAGGAATTAGTGAAAAACAAATGATCTTTTTAAATAATAATCTTTTTAAAATCTTCTCTCCAGAACAGCTGAGTCAGGAAAGATGCATCTTCGAATCAGCCAAGGGTTTCTGATACGCTACTCTCCTCGTAAACCCTTGGCCTATGGTGTTCATAAAATCGGGATTTTTTTCCAGAGTTCTGATTGGATATTCAGGACACCCAGGTCTTTAATCAGCAATTGTTTTTGTAAATGACAATATTTGCGTTCGAGGATACATCTTCACTCTTTAATCTCGGAAATGAAAAACGCAAGTAAACAATGATCCGTAAGATAACATTCAATTCTATGAATGCCATGGTGTCATCCAAGTATCTTACTAAATATGTGATTAAGAATCTTTATTGAAGCTTCTTTGTTCTATAAATAATGAATAAAGATGAAACTCAATTATTGCTTCTTAATTAGTGTAAATTCAAGTTTTTTTAACACGTGTCTTTATTTCTGGCGATGAGGCAATCTGTGCATACCCAAGTTTTACATAGGAATATATATGACTTCACCGTATGCTTTATGAGGAGAGGAGCTTACTCAGAAACCCTTGGCTGGGCCAGGGAAAGATGAAACTTATTTTGAATTATCCTCAGGTAGTGTAGATCTAAATTTGTTCAAATAATGACCCCTGTTGGTAGGGTGGAGCCACAACGAATGATCAAAGTTTTACATATCAATATACAGGGGAAATCTTTAAAAATCTTCTTCTCAAGAACCACTGGGCCAGGAAAGATAAAACTCATATGGAATCATCCTCATATTGTATAGATTCAAGTTTATTCATATCATGACCTTCAGTGGTAGGGTGGGGCCATAATGGACGATCAACGTTTTACAAAGGAATATTTATGAAAAATCTTTAAAAATCTTCTTCTCGAGATTAGCAATGCCAAAGGTGGTGATATTTTAAAATATGGAAGCGTCTTAATGAGGCCCGATCTAGTTGAAAATTACGAAAACGGAATGATAAAAAATTTTAACTCTTGGAAATATATCTGTATGTTTTATGTCAATTAAGATATGGACCATTTTTCGTGTTTTTATACACAATTACATACTAAAACTCTCAAATAAACAAAGAAATTGACAAATTAAAAAAATAAACGATGAAATGCTTTGTTTTTCACATATATCATGCAATTTTCATTCTTTTTATAAAAAATGAAAAGAAAATTGGAGGTAGCCTTTATTGCAGTGAAAAGGGGGCATGTCAACACAAAATTTGGAATTATTTTATCCAACTAGGTATTTTAATAAGTCGCAATGGGTTTGCATAACATCAACAAACGATTGCAATACTGTATTAGTTTCTAAAAAAAATAAATAATTCTTACATTATGAAATAATTTTCTCGCCATGCTTTATTTTTCTCTTAACACGCGACGTTGTTTTACGTGGGAAAAAGGGGTAGAGGGAGGAGGGGGGGAGGAGAAAAAATTACGATTTTTATTAATATCATTTAATATACAGAAAAATAAAACATTTCGGGGGTTGTATTCAAATGATTTATAGACTTATTTTTTAAAACTGAAGCTAATCCATGCACATTTAAGTCCTCAATAAAAAGTGTGTGTATAAACACTTCAACATGTTCAAGGAGAAAGACTAAAATCGTTTACTCTTTGTTGCAATGTTTGTTTTTTTAAACTCACAAATTGAAATAAAACAAGATAAAATTAATGAATCTGTACCAAAATATTGATCCCTCAAAATTAATTATGTTCCAAAATTATTTATTAATTTAAACATATATTTTAAAAAATTGTAAATGATAGAAATGTCAACTTTCAACATGCACAGTCTATAGAGCTACCAAGTAAGCAAGTTTGCGCAATTTGATGTCATTTCAACTGTGACGTTATTGTGTTCAATTGTGACGGCAGTCAAAAAGGAATTGCTAATGTGTCTTGAGTTGACGCCGCGCTTAAAACTAGGGCGTATATCAGTAGATCGGGCTCTGTTAAGTGGACCAAACGGAAAGAGCGCCTGCCCAGAACCAATGCACCTATGAAATATAACTTGATGTACGAACGATTTTAGAGTTATGGCCGAGGATAATATGTTTTTCAAAGTGGACAAAACTCTAAGGTCAAGGTAAAAAAGTCAAATATTTTTAAACCTCGTTGAAGATCTTGTCACAGTAGATTCTACATTGTATCAAATCAGGACTCCTTGGGCTTTAAATTCCAGGGTGGGGACACAATGTTGGATCAATTTTTACATAGGAATACAAAATAAAATATCTTTAAAAAAATTTTAGAGAACAACAAATCTATAATAATAAGTGATTTTTTATATGGAATTAAAAGAAGCACCCTTAGGTACACATGCTTTAGATTCAGGTTAGTTCATATCATGACCCCAAGGGTAAAGGTGTGGCCACAACAAGGGATCAAAGTTTTACGTAAGAATATATAGGAAAAAATTCTTTTACTTCAGAACAGAAAAGTTATGTTTAGTAATATTGATATGTAAGCATCCGTATGCAGTGAAGATTAAATTTTTTTCAAATCATGACCCAAAGAGGGGGGGATTTCGGATGGGCCACAATGGGAGATCAATTTTTACAGGGTAATATATATAAAAAATCTTTAAAAATCTTCTTTTCAAGAATGGCATTATTATTGAAATGAATTATGAATTAAATAACAAGAAATGAAATGTAGATCCAACTGAATTTTTAATCCTGGACTTCCACTGTTCCCTGTAAATTTAGTTGGCTGCCAAAATAATTTTTTCAGACTAGCCTGACAAAGCTGTTGAATGGTAAATGAAAACTGTGAACAGAGAACAAATAAATGATCAGTGAATGGTTAGAAAATGGAAAATTTGAAAAAATATGACATTTCAGGTGACATTGGTCATTTATTTGCATCAACTTTATCCTCTAATTGATTGTTATTAAATCAATATGAGCTGCAACTTTGATGTCGAAATATTTAACTGCAAAATTCTAATATTTCAAGAACAGAGAAAAGGAACATTTATAGTCTTCTGTTGTTGAAATTTGTGATGGAAAAAATTATCATAAGCTTTGATTGAAGCAAAATTATATAATTATTGTCGTCCTGTACAATATTGATTTCTTAGTTATTGATACTCTATATTTGACTGTACAAAAGTCTTTCCTCTGAAACAATTTAGTTCTTTATTTTAGTTTAAATGAACATAAAGGTTTAATATTATATACAAATTTATCATAAAAACTCATTTTAACAGCAACATAAAAATCTAAAGAATGCAGCTAATATTGCTTAAATATTTTGAATAAAATTATTTTTTTTTCTTAAATTTCAGCAATCTATGAAGTAGGAACCAAATCCCCAAGCTATTACTGTAGTTACACTATCAATAGTTTGTACGAGAAGACTGGAAATATCATTTCTCCTACCTATCCCGGGGTGTACCCAGACAATTTTAACTGCTCATACAGCTTACACGGACTTGTAGGGGAGAGAATTCAGATCCAATTTAATGACTTCTCTCTTTTTCATGGTGGTGATTAGTAAGTATACTTTAATATAAACTACATTCCTGTTGCAAAGTTATTGTTTGACAAAATTCTTAATGACAATTTAAAAAAAAAAGAAACAAACAAATTTTAACATTTGCTGGCAAAAACAGGATCTTGGCATGAACTATTATAGTTTTAAAAATTATGGCCTTGCCTACTATGGGAAGGACTTTAACCATCAAAGTTAATGGAATCTTTATAAATATTCAGGTGAACATAAGATTTAAGCACATAAAATTTTGGAGGGGGGGGGGGTACACCTAGAGGTCTGGTCTTTGGGCTCTGTAAATATGCTACTCAGGTGTCTAATCATCCTATTGACCTCAAAAGTAGCAATAGTTGTATAATGTTTGCCCACCTCTGGTGAATATTTCCTTCCACTCCTCCCTGGACAATATTCCAGCCCTCGAGGCTAAATATTCATTGTCAATACTGCCGTGATACTTCTTCCTCAATTGAGGTACACTGTGAAAAATTAGATCTACTTAAACTCCCTGGAACTACTCTTTTATTAATATTCATTAATAATTTAAACCAATTTAAATACTCAGTGGATGGAGCATTAAAGGAATCTTGAATCTGTGACCTAATATTATTTGCAAATGTAACTTTGTTTTCTAAATATGAGATGCAATGTCTAAAGCATATTATAGCAAAATGTCGAGCACAATATCTCTTTTAATTAAAATATGATATTTTTATACCCCCCGCAAACAAAGTTTGGGGGGTATATAGGAATCACCTTGTCCATCTGTCCGTCTGTCTAGCTGTCCGTCCGTCCGTCTGTGTCTAGCTGTCTGTGCAATTGTGTCCGGTCCATATCTTTCTTACAGAGGGACATTAGAATCTACTACTCCACACAAAGATTGCCCATGACCTAAGGGTGTGTCATGACCTTGACCCAAGGTCATTTGGGGAACTTCAAGGTCACTGGAAGAAAAATTTCATAATTCGTGTCCGGTACATATCTTTCTTATGGATAAACTTGGTAGGTTCTCATTTCACACAAAGATTGCCCATGACCCAAGGGTGTGTCATGACCTTGACCCAAGGTCATTTGGGGAAGTTCAAGGTCACTGGAAGAAAAATTTCATAATTAGTGTCCAGTCCAAATCTTTATGGATAAACTTGGTAGGTTCTCATTTCACACAAAGATTGCTAATGGCCCAAGGGTGTGTTATGACCTTGACCCAAGGTATTTGGGGAAGTTCAAGGTCACTGGAAGAAAAATTTCATAATTTGTGTCCGGTCCATATCTTTCTTATGGATTAACTTGGTAGGTTTTCATTTCACACAAAGATCGCCCATGATGTAAGAGTGTGTTATGACCTTGACCCAAGGTCATTTGGAGAAGTTCAAGGTCACTGGAAATAAAATTCATAATTTGTGTCCAGTCCATATCTTTCTTATGGATAAACTTGGTAGGTTTTCATTTCACACAAAGATTACCCATGACCCAAGGGTGTGTCATGACCTTGACCCAAGGTTATTTGGGGAAGTTCAAGGTCACTGGAAGAAAAATTTCATAATTCATGTTTGATACATATCTTTATTAAGGAAAAACTTACTTCTGAAAAACCCAGCGGGGGGTATTTTGTCCCGTTTGGACAGTTCTAGTTCCCTTTGTTTTTTTGCATAAAATATCTGACAAAATAAATTTTACTTATTATATGCATTTTGATTATTTGAATGCCTCTTTATTGCAATGTCTAAACAAGTTAATTCAGAGAATTTGTGTCCCCTGCTTAGGGAAAAAGTAATCCATGTGCAGTTCGGGAGGAGGGGGGAGGTTGGATCCCCCTGACTGAATTTGTTGAATTATTAAATGTATACATGTATACTAAAGCAAATAAAATATGCCAATATGGATATAAAGATGTGATTGCTTATTCTTTATTATGTGTATAGAAGATTCTTATGTATTAAATACTGATCACACTGTAATGATGATTTTATGAGTTTGTACAAGCCAGATCTCATAAATTTTTCATTTTACATGCTGAATACTATCATTTAGGAGAAAAAAGTATTTCGGAAAAAAAGTGAACCATCCGGGATTCGAACCCGGGACCTCTCATGTGTGAAGCGAGAGACATACCACTAGACCACGGAACCGCTTACGATCAGCGACAATTATATGCAAACATGAAGTCACATACATGTATATACATGTATTCATGTTAGATATTGTCAAAATTTTACACAATGCATGGTGTCTAATTTAGCCTTTATTTAACAGTTCTAATAGCAGTGTTTTCAATAAGAGCCAGCAACCGGCAAAATTAACAGCCTGTACGAGAAATTTTGCCGGCTGTGAAATTTCCGTCATTAGGATTTTGCCGGGGCTGATACTTGAAATCCATAGATTTTATCGCAACTATTTCCATGATCAAATTAGCTTCCCTTGAGTGCACTCTATTTTCAAGGAAGTTTGATTAGATTGATAGTGTCATGTAATGGCATCGCGGACAACAAATATTTGATCGAAGTCGTGGAGAAACGTGCTGCTTTTGTAACACATGTGTTTGAGATCACATACATTAAGAGACATAAAGCATGGTCCCCTCCGAAAAAATTTGTTTGTGTTTTATAATTTTTAATTTAAAATTGATTGTGCGACAGCCTCAATATTAATTAAGTGAGGGGTTCCCCGTAAACGACAGCAAATAGCTATATCTAGGCCAATATAATTTTAAGACCTTACTAAAAAATGTATGAATTCTTACATAATTTCCTCAAAATGAAAATATCAAATGTTAAGCTAAGACGTGACTTAGACCTAGAAATTCTTACAGAATATCCTCAAACTGTAAATGCAAAATTTCATTCTCATTTATTCGTGTAAGATATCTCGAAATACAGGGACAGTACCGTTTACACATTTGGGGAGGTTTTAATATACTAGTATTTTGTATCAAATTCCATTTTCTTAATTATTTTTTTTTCTGACAATCTGTACAAAATGTCAAAAAATAAAATCAATTTAAAGATTTTTTTATGAAAAGTCTAAGATTGCAGATTATTTCAATTTTTAGGGGGTACTGTACATCACCATGTGTTTAAAAAATCTTAAATTTTTAACTAAATAATTTTTTTTAAATATGAATAAAAGTCCTGACCAATATATGTGATAGGGAATAAATATGTAGAATCTTCAGTTTAATATTTTACCCTTACAATTGTCTATACTATAATTTCATACTTAAGATGTCTACATGTTTTTACAGACACACAATTTTAAAAAAAAAAACCAGTCTGTCAAAAATCTGTCAAATTAATCTGTGAAAAGGTAAAAATTGTTTTCTAATTGGCTTTTTTAGGTAAAATTTGATAATTGATAGTGACAGGAATGTAATAAAATAGTACTTTTTAATGGCCTGAGAGGTAAGAAAAGTGAGTCAAAAATGCTGAATTTCGTTTTAGGCCAGGGGGCTTTGCCCCCCTGGGCCCCTACCAGGGCTCTGCCCTTGACCCGCTGGGGGCCTAAGGCGGCCCCCAGACCCTCGCCAAGACTAGTTTCCTGCTATTCCATCTATTTTTCCTTCTATTGAAAATCTTATTGAAAACACTGAATAGTTGAAATAAGAATATAAAGTCCGCCGAGAACCTGTTTAATACGTAATAACTCTCCTCATGCCCCTGTGCTAAAAATAGCGACATGTAATACAATAGATTAAATACTAATAAAACAAACAGGGCAGGACAGTTTGAGAGGGTTGAGAGAGGTCCAAGTGAGTTTTGGTATAAAATTACATGTACATTGCAAAAGCTCAAAATCTTCTTGAAATATCTCCCGGAAACTCCCGAATAGTGCAACAAACAGACAGAATATATAAATTTACGACCTCTTTTAATCTCAAAATCAATAGGGGTCTTCCTTAGGCCACAGGGAGTTGTTATGTTAAATTTCATTGTAAACGCTCAAAGGGTTCTCGAGATATCGCGCGGAAACGAAAGTGTTATAACAGACAAAATATGCGAATTTAATACCTTGACCTTTGACCTTTTGACCTTAAAATCAATAGGGTTTTTCTTTTGTCCATAGGGAGTTGCTATGCAAAATTTCAATTCGAAAGCTCAAAGGGTTCTCGAGATATCGTGTGGAAACGAAAGCGTTACAGACAGACTGAAAGACGGACGGACGGACGGACAGACCCAAATTAATATCCCCCACTTTTCAAGCGGGGAACAAAAAATGTCTCATTATCTGGTTTAGCAAGCAAAGTCAAAGAATTGTGGTCCCTGGCTTTCAGTGTCTTTGTGGGTGAAATGTGTATTTTTTATGACATATTGTGTCAAATATTAGAAATTATCACCAAGGTTAAATTTTTTTCAAATAAGGTCATTTGTAAAGGTCAAGGTCAAGAGGTCAGAAATCATAGCATACCTGGAAATATCTTGTCATAGGTAATGCATATGTCAAATATGAAACCCTTATCTCTTCACAATCAAAAGTTATAAGGAAAAATAAAAAAAATTTAAAAGTAGATCAAACTTCAAGGTCAAGGTCACGGCATCAGAAATCAGAGTTATTTAGAAAGGTCTTGTCACAGGCAATACACAGGTTAAATATGAAAACCCTTTTCCCCCTTTTAAAATTATGACCAAAGATAATTTTTTTAAAAAAGTAGGACAAACTTTAAGGTCAGTGTCACGAGGTCAAAAATCACAGTGTCTTATGAAAACCCTATCTCTTCCTATTCAAAAGTTATGGCCATGCAGTTCAAAGTTTTTTTAAATTTTTTTAAAAATAGGTCAAAATTAAGGTCAAGGTTTTGGTGTCAAAAATTATAGTGT